GTCTGGCTTTCTACTGACCACCCATAATAAGAAAGAGGTAGAGTATGCCAGCATCTGGAGGATTGTAGCTTTCCTACCAATGGACATGACGTTCTCTGGAAGAATAAAATGGGAAACAATCCATAGCTTCCTCCTCCTCCCCCTCGATTTTTATTTTATCTCAAGAAAATTTGGAAAGCCAAATGGAATATTTCACGCTTTGAACGTGGCCGGATGGTCACTACCCCATCTAAACAAGGGACACAGATGGGAAGGCTAAAAAGACCAAGGGAACCTCCCATCTCAACAATAATCTCAGAAATTTTCTGGAGCCAACAACTGGCATGGAGGAAACTCACAACCCACAGGAACAGATTTTCGGATTATCCGAAGCCATCAAAGAATCTTCTGTCATGAGTTCACCCAGGATTGAGAAAAACTTTGGATGGCCTCCGATTCCTAGGTTAGGATCACTTCAATATGAGCCAGCCATGTGCTGCAGCTGCCCAAAAAGCCAACACAGTCCTAGACTGTATAAACAGAGGGATAGAATCAAGATCACATAAAGTGTTAATACCCTTTTATAAGGCCACACTTGGAACCTTTACATCCAGTTTTGGTCGCCACGATGTAAAAAAGATGTTGAGACTCTAGAAAGAGCGCAGAGAAGAACAACAAAGAGGATCAGGGGACTGGAGGCTAAAACATAGAAAGAACGGATGCTGGAAATGGGGATGACTGGTTTGATGAAAAGAAGGACTAGCGGGTGACATGATAGCAGTCTTCCAATATTTGAGGGGCTGCCCCAAAGAAGAGGCAGTCAAGCTGTTCTCCAAAGCCCCTGAAGGCAGGACAAGGAGCAATGGATGGAAACTAGTAAAGGAGAGAAGCAACTTAGAACGAAGGAGAAATTTCCTGAAAAAAAGAACAATTAGTCAGTGGAAGAGTTACCCTTCAGAAGTTGTGGATGCTCCAACATTGGAGGTTTTTAAGAAGAGACTGGACAACCATTTGTCTGAAGTGGTGTAGGGTTTCCTGTCTAAGAAGGGGGTTGGAGTAGATGACCTACAAGGTCCCTTCCAACTCTGTTATTCTACTCTATTTCCCTAATTGACTGGATCCTGGTTTGATGAAGAAGCCAGATGTGCAAAACACTAACCTCAAATGAAATGTTACTCCTCAATCTTCTGTGCGTGCATGCGTGTGTGTGTGTGTGTGTGTGTGTGTGAACTAAAGCCACAAAAACGGGGTTCGATTTGAAATAAAACTTGTTTCTGTGATTCCTGTATTCCATAAAAGTTCTCATTTAGCCTTGGTAGCTGAAGAGTTATCACCGCTGGGAGAAATCCAGCTTTTTCATAACTTTTTGGAAGTACCAAGCCATGGAATCCCAGCCAGAGCACACACGATTTAAATAGAGGAAATGGATTAAGAATATACAATACTGATCATTCTTGGGAGTGAAAAATCCATCTTCCTATCCACCAGTTAACTCCCCAAGAATGGGACAGATTTAATGGTCTTGCATGGAAGGAAAAATTAAGGACAAATCAGGGCATGCCATTAAACACACTAATATTTATCACGGTTTCATACACATCTGGCTTGGAAATATGTATCTCTCCCCTCCATCACCACAGAGGCTATTTGAAAATTGCAAAAATTGCAACAAAACAAAATAAAACACAATCCTGGCAGCATGTACACAATATCTGGCTTCACAATAAAGGCAAACCCATTTTCAGAAACAGGTACCCTTCCCGAATCTGTAAGTCACACATCATTCTATCACATATAATTTTTTGCATTCGATGCTTTTGCATTTCCCCACATGGGATGGCATTTGTTTAAATGTTAACCCTTAACTCAACACTGTTCGTTTAAATAAAAGAATCAAAAGATCAAAGAAACAGAATTGTTGGCAAACTGTGTCAGGTGTGTGTATTTAAAGGGCAAAATAAATTTATACAGGCCAATCCCACAGAACGGGTAGCACCTTACATCCATAGCCCCACCCTAATTGGAGGCCTTGAAAGAATTAAATACTAGGTCTAATTTTCTGCAGGCATTCTGTTTCCTTTTTTCCAGAAGCAATGAATGAATGAATGAAATCCAGAACCAAATTCTTTTGCATTTCTTAATGTGCCTGACGGCAACCTTATTTAGCTTCAGGTTAAAATGTTGAGTTGTGTTTCGCAAAATAAAAATAAAAAAAATAGCAGGCACGCCATAAACAAACCCAAAGTCGCAACACAACAAAAGTAGCAAGTTTGAAGACTGTTGCAAAATGTAATACTGCGAAAGAGTAAGTTCAGTTGTCCTTCCTTCTCCTTAGTTCAGGGAAGTCCGGTCTTCAGAATTTTTCTGGAGACCTGAAGATGTCGCAAACTGAACTCAGGTGTGATGACCCAAAGGGGCGTGGCACAAAGGCCACACAGTCATAAGCAATCAGAGTCCCTTTTTGAGCTCCAGCTTTGCCCCCAATGTCCTGGTTACCTTTTGGGCTGGAGAAAAACTTTCCCAGGAACAGCCTTTGGCTGCAGAGACTCAAGTCCAAAACATGGTCAACACAAACTGTAACTAAAAGTCTAATCAAGGTAGGGTAATTAGTCCGGAAGGGCAAGAGAAGGAATTCCAGGCATGAAAGCATGACAATAACTCAACACAGTTGGGAAGAAGCCAGGAACGCAGATAACCAAAGTCAACACAAGGTAAACTCACGCTTGTTCCCAGCAGATGCTGCATTCGGCATGCATCTCTTTTAAACTCTCTTCGCAGCTGTGGCTAATGAAGGGAATCAAGGCCCTTCCCTCCCCCGTAAGCGATGCAACCCACGTTGCTCCCTTCTACGTTCCTCCCTGTGTGCCCTAGGATGAAGAGGAGGTGGGCCTGCATCTTCCTCTGAACTACCTCTCCCTTATTCTACTTCCTCCTGCTTTGCCCAGCCGGACTTTGCCCTTCCCCAGTTTCCTCCACAGCCAACAGAGCCACACTCCCACTCCCTGTCAGCTGCTTGGCCTCCTACTCCGAATTAGATTCCGACAGGGGCATGACACAAGGATCTTTGGCTCACAAAACTGGTATTAGGACAAATTATCTCTCT